CATTATTTTGTAAGAGATTTTCAATAAAAATGTCATATTCACCAGTGAAATCAAATAATTCTCTTAAAGGAGCATCAGGAAACTATAAAAGAATGATATCACTGTTAATATATCAGTGTTATCTTACATTAGAAGATACATATCCAAGTACAGATATAGCCCTAGGCAAGGGACCAGTGTTAATGACAGTGAAATCAAAATCAATGTTGATATCAACAGAATCATTGATCACGATTTCTGTAACATTATCCATTTTGTTAGTCCTATCATTAACTAAAATAAAGAATTATTATAATTATGAACCATTTTAATTCAAAAATAGTGTAACTCAGTCCATGACCAAAAGGAAAGACAGGGTCCCCAGTATAAAACCTAGCTGTACATACGACTGGGTGGTTTCCTCATTGACATGAGCCGATAAGCAGCTGTATTAATGTACTCACCTGGATATGGTAGGAGGGACCAAGAAGAGTTGAAAAGAAGTATAATCAGTTAATGTAAAGAGATGCTTCCTCATACAAATGTTAACATTAGAGGTAGTCTTCCTGATTGATTCATTTCTCCATAAAGTATTACCCAACCCAAAAAATAGCATCAGCTAAATCCTAGAAAAATAAATGAATAAACATTTATCATCATAATGCATACAGTATGTCCTCCTATAGGCTATTTTTTAGAATTTTGGGTTTTTTTCTTAAGATGGCCTTAACTTGAAAAATTGAAGTCGGAATCACCTCAAACTTTCTACACAGCATAAGAACATCAATATGTATCAGAAAATGTAATAAAAATTTGTAGTGATTTTGGAGCCATTTTTTGAAATAAAACTATGGACTGCCTTGGGTATTTTTTAAACTTGGGGCGTTTTCTTAAAATGGCTGTAACTTGAAAAATTGAAGTCGGAATCACCTCAAACTTTCTACACAGCATAAGAACATCAATATGTATCAGAAAATGTAATAAAAATTTGTAGTGATTTTGGAGCCATTTTTTGAAATAAAACCATGGACTATAGCCTTGGGTATTTTTCAAATTTGGGGCGTTTTCTTAAAATGGCTGTAACTTGAAAAATTGAAGTCGGAATCACCTCAAACTTTCTACACAGCATAAGAACATCAATATGTATCAGAAAATGTAATTAAAAATTTGGGGTGATTTCGGAGCCATTTCTTGGGAAAAACCATGGACTATATAGCCTTGGGTATTTTTCAGATTTTGACGTTTTCTTAAAATCGCTGTAACTTGAAAAATTGAAGTCAGAATCACCTCAAACTTTCTATGCAGCATAAGAACATCAATATGCTTTTTTAATTAACCAAAATGGTGGAATGAGGTAAGTTGGACTGGCAGTGATAGAGAGAGGACAACCCTTTTCTTATTGTTCAAGCTATTTGAAAAGTTGTGGATCTGTACATGGATATTTGGAGTAGAATGGTGTAAAAATTATCCTTGTAGTATTGACCAAAGACCATGATACCTCTGCTTAACTAGATTGACAGGAGATGATGAAAAAAGGTGGCTGAACAAAATGGCTGACTTGCAAATTTTTGACTTTCCTC